AAAATCATGTGTTTTCACTTTGAATGAAGTTTGTTTTTTTTTTTTAAATGCTTTTTAGGTCATAACAATTTTGCTACAACTAGTGGGACACATCTGTCCCAAAAAGCCTCTGATGCTGAGGTTAGTGAGATGTGGCCAATTTTTTTTCTAATTCTTACAGTGATAGTTATTCAACAGATGGTTGTTGTTATTAGGTGCCGCCCAGTCACTCCTGACTCATACTGACCGTATGCACAACAGAAGGAAACACTGCCCAGTGCAGCGCCGTCCTAACAATTGTTACTCTTGAGCCCATCGCTGCTACCGCGGTGCCAATCCATCTAAATGGGGGTCTTCCTCTTTTTCACCGACCATAAACTGTACCAAGCATGATGTCCTTCTCCAGGGACTGGTCCCTCCTGCTAACATGTCCAAAATGTGAGAGATGAAGTCTCACCATCCTAGCTTCTAAAAAGCACTTGAGCTGTATTTCTTCCAACACAAAGCTGTTTGTTCTTCAGGCAGCCTGTGGCACTGTATGTAGTTTTCTCCTGCACCACAACTTAAATGCATCAGTTCTTCTATGGTCTCTCTTATGCATTGTCACACTTTCACATACAAATGGGACTTTTGAACATACCATGGCTTGAGTCAGGTACTCCTTAGTCCTCAGGCTATTGATATCTTTGCTTTTGAACACATAACAGAAGTCTGTGCAGCAGATTTGCCTAATGAAATACACCCTTTGATTTCTTCATTGGATTTCTTGACTGCCACTTCCATGAGTATTAATTGTGGGTCAAAACAAAATTAAGTCTTTGACAACTTCAATCTTTTCTCCTTTTATCACAATATTTTTTATTGGTCCAGTGGTCAGGATTTTTGTTTTCTATCCATTGAGGTGTAATCCATACCAAAGGCTGTAGTCTTTGATCTTCATCAGTAAGTATTTTAAGTCCTTTTTGCAAGCAAGGTTGTATCATCTGCGTCTCACAAGTTGTTAATGAGTCTTCCTCCAATCCTGATGCCACGTTTTTCTTCATATAATACAGCTTCTCAGATTATTTGCTCAACATACAGATTGAAAAGTATGGTATAAGAATACAACCTTTCTTAATTTTAAACCATTCAGTGT